TAATAGCTGATCAGCTGCACATGGAAGATAAGTGTGCATAGCTCCTCAGCATTCTATGGACTGCACAGAGATCAGGCTGAATTCTAACCCAAAGGACATAGATTTCTCACATGTCTTGCATGGCAATGAAAACAGAGGAAGTTTCTGGCAACAGAGGGCTCACAGGTTATCTCTAACATCAGAAGTTTAAATGAAAATCAAATATAAGATGGAAGGATTATAGTATCAAAGCGATAATATTCCTTGTTTTTTTTAAAAAAAATAAATGAAGGAGGACAGCTTGTACACTGATTTACAGATGTTTAAGGCCAAAGTCTTATTCCTATTATTTTATGATCTGCAATGGGGAACCTTGGGTTTGGTTCTGCTGTAGGATAATTCCTTTCCATCTTCTTGTACACCATTCTTGGGGTTTTCCCTTTTGATCTTTCTTGCCATACATCTGTCCATAGCACAAACATGCCATAAGAGCATCCCCCCCCGCCCCGCCTTGTTCTCATGGCACTGTTCATTTCCAGCCCATGAATGAGTCAGGTTGAAGTTGTCTTTAGATATACCAATGTTAAAGCAGTAATTTCCCCATTATTTGAACACCATCCAGGGTCAGCCTCAAGGCATTAACATATGCTAGATTCTTTTTTTTTTTTATCCATGATCTTGGAGGAAAGACAAGTGACTGTAGTGACATAGTGGCAGGATAAAATTAGGAAGGATGAACAGCAGGTTTCATGCTAGTAAAGTTCTCTGTTGATTCAGGAATGAATGGGTATCACTTCAATTCAGCAATGGGAAAAGCTTAGAATAAAAAATGCCACTGTCTGATTTTTTAGGAAGTTTTCTATCCTTGATAGATTGCTCTTAAGTAAAATTCATTCTTGAGCTACCTAGATTCCCTTGGCCTGTCCTTTGCCAATAAAGGTTACATTAATTATCTGAATAATCTCATTATCCCCAGATTCTGCCCTTGCCCTTCTGTCCTACAAACTGCAGAATTTCAGGGTAGCCTGTGGGGAAAATTTCAGCCTCC